ATAATTTGATTTTGCTGAACAGCCTTTGTTTTGTGAGCACAATTTTGGTGCCTTAAAATGCCATCTTTTGTAGGCAGCTCACTAGGTTTTTGGAACATAGCATACTATAAAATATCCAAACATTTGTCATTGTTTGTATGGGGAAAAAATGACAAAGATTGATTGAATGAAATCTTCTTCGTGTTTATCAAAATGTTTGACGCTCCCAAAATGTACGTCCATGAAATATAGATAGCCATTTTCCTTTTTTAAAAGTTCTGTATTTAAAAAAAAAACTACATGTATACCATTTTCAAGTCATGAAAACCTACAAAACAACATATTTGGCGTTAAGAAAAATAGCTGGTAAAAATCTACAGGATATGAACGTTATCTACAGAACATTACACAAGAGTTGATCATGTAACTGATCAATATCGGGAAAAAAGGTTGATACGACGTATCTAAAACAATTTCATCTGGAATATTCCAAATATCTAAAGTGCTTCTGCATTAGTCCCTAATTCATACACAAGTGTGGGATTGTAAGTATAAGGCAGATTAATTCTATCCACTACAGATAGAAAACCATGCACACACTCAAAGGGATGGGTGAGAGGGATGATACTATAACTATAAAGAACAACGAAGATTCCCTTTAAGACATGGTTATTTTACTTGTCAAAACATCAGACGACCAGTAGTCTGAAAAACTGACGGTTAATAAAGAAATATGTGAAGGTTGAGTTCTTTCAAAGACTATTTTAGCAGCTATAATTTCTCAGACAAACTCTGGTGTCTGGACTTTCACAGCCTGTTTAGGAATGGGATAAGAGGTGATTGCAATCTTTTCTTACTGTGCGGACTGGCGATTGAGGTTTCGAAACGATCTTAAAAACTGATAGAAGACAGAGCACACAGAGAAAAGAGCTAGATTTTTCCAATGATAGCAACTCACGGATACACCACTGGACTCCTGACTGGCCAAATTCTTCTAAGTACACTGTAACTCCAGACAGGCTCGGTCACATGTGGAACGGCAGCACTTCTCTGAGCATAATCAGAGCGCTGTTGTGCTCCTCTATGTCGACAAACACAGCGCCCTCTGCTTGTGTGGCTGTGTCAGTACCACCTGGTCCTGCAGTCACAATGTTACGCTGTCTTTCCAACTATAGGATTCTCCCTATAAATTAAAGTAAAAAGAATGTCAAACAATTTTGCTGCACATATACCCACACACACAAGACAAAATTTTGTCTAATAGCTTTTTGGGGGGGGGGATTTTGATTTAGTACTTTTTAACGAAAAATGTTTGCTGAAAATGTACTTTTAAATGTATTTGCCAGCCAAGATGTAGATGAGTTTGTTTCTTGCAACAGCATTTTAGTGGCACATCAAAATATATAAATCTAATATTTCAAGATTAAAGTCATAATATTTTGAGAATAAAATTTCCACCTATTCCACAAAAAACATCTGTACCTCAAACCTTATGTCAAAACAGTAATAAAATGTTGAAATAGACTCCAACTTGGTTAACTGACTGATTTATGAGAATAATAATAAAAAAAAATGTTGGCAAAGTGATACCGTTGTTCCTTTTGTGCGCATTTTAAATTCATCCAGGCTCCCTTTTATCTGTCCTAGAAGAAAGCCACTGAGGCCCGGTGGCCAACCCACATAATATGGCCAAATAAAAGAGAACAACCTTAATAATTTACTTTTATTTTGCAACCTTTTCTTCTTGATATCCAGAGCTGTTCTTGCCAGCACTGCAGTATTGAGCAGCATTGCTGTCATCGATATTACTTTGAGGATCAAAGAGCACCGCTTGATTGGTGAATGTCCCTGAAGCGTAGCTAAATATAAGTAAATATTTTATCCAAAGCGACTTACAAATGAGGACACCAGAAGCAATCAAAGTCAACAAAAGAGCAATAATATGTAAATTTAGGAAATGTCAATGACATTTCAGCACTTCATGAACAGACAGCAACTTAAGTACCACTTTAAGAGCGTTTGC